AGGTCACTATTCATTCAAACTCCAACCACAAACCTTCATTTCCTTCATTCAAACTTTATTCAAAAAGTAGTTTTTATTCATTAATAAATATTTAATTTTAAAATTTTTGTAAAATATTGTGAGGATGTATTTTCTGAATGCCAACACATGGCATGGTGACACCGACGTGTCAGCCGAGGTGCCACGTGTCCTGGTAGTTACGCCGAGGTGATCTCGGAGTTGCCGAGGTTATCTCCAAAGATATCGGAATCCGAGATAGGCGGACAGGGGACAAGAGTCCTAAGACGAAGAGGGGACTTAACCTAGATAAGGATAAAGCTCTTAGGGAGTTTATCTTTATCTCTTAAAGAGTCCAAAGTAAACATTGATATGAAGTTCATAGAAGTCATACTTCTAGTGGGACTTGGATTGAGTATATTATAAAAGAGAGGCACCCCCGTGGGTCTAAGGTATGCAATTTATGTTTTGAGTATTGATTGCACAAAGGAAGCAACATGAAGAAGCATGCAAAAAAATTTCCAAGTACAAGACTATGCAGAAGCAGTCAACAGAACATCACAAGACCGAGGGTGGTTAATGTGATCCACTCAAGGGTCAACGAAAACGAAGTCAGAGGAGAAACCCAGAGGGTAAGACATTTTTTGGTTTGAGAATGACTTTTTGGTTTTTTAGCTTTTTTTACTTTTTTTTGTGAGAAAAGAGTGCAATGATTACAGATTGAATGTGATATTTTGTTTGTTATGACTAAAATAACTTATTTTGTCTTTTGTGATTAAAATAGCCAAAAAATCTCTTGCCAAATTTGAGTGTAAACAGAGCTCCTCCTCCATAATACTTGTAAGAACAAATAATGCAAATTAATATTTATTTTTAATAATATATCAAATATATATTTTACATATGATACGATAATTCCTTAAGTATCATGTACTCTCTCAAAAATTATAGAATAATCTATAATGGTTGTGAAATTGAAAACAAAACTATAAAATATTCAGTTAAATGGAGAGTGACTCAATAAAAATGGTTAACTTAGTAAAAATAAAAAGAAAATTCTTCCAAAATTTTATAAATTTGAAAAAAACAAGAAAAAAAAGGCATTTATCAATGTGGGTTGATTCATCAATTGTAGATGTTATTGATTATTAATCTTTTTAGCATTGAACAAGACACATCATCTTGTTTTTAACTTTTTAGCCTTATTGTTTTATGGGAAAATGATTGTTCTTATATTGTTTTGGTTCGAAAATGACATTAATTAATATGTGCCCCTAATAATTTGCATGAGAGCATCTCCAACGGTAAACTTTTTGTTTCACCAAATTTGAGTAAAAAATACTCATTTCATCAAATTTGATATCACTACCTCCAACAGTGTGCATCAAATCCTGTATCAAATCCCGTGGGTCAACCGGAACGCTATGTTTCTGAAATTATTTGAATTGATGGAAACCCACCAATTATATCAATTGATGAAAACTCACCAATTGTTTGGTTGCTGTCAATATCTTTGGCGTGAAAACCCACCAATTGAAATTGCCTTTCATTTTCATTGATTCATCCACCCGTTGCAACTTTCATTCTCATAGATGCATCAATTGAAACAGTTTGGCGGTGGGTCGACCGGCCGGTCAACCGGTAAGGCAAAATTTTATTTATTTATTTATTTGCCTGTTTGAATCTTTTTTGACCGGTTTGAACCTATCTATTTCAAAAGAATTCGGTCGACCGGTTGGTCAACCAGGTCCTCCCTCCAACGGTCACTAACAGTGTTTTGGTGAAATCAGTATCTTGTCATCGATTTGATGGATTATTTGATGAAATCTCAATCTGATATTGATTTGGTGCAACCGTTAGAGCTGTGAACAGTGACTTTTTCATCAAAATTTAAATTTGATATCATCTCTGATGAACAGTTGGAGAGGGTCTGACAAAGACAATAATTGAAAGGGATCCATCACACTTTTGTCCTTTTGCTTCTAAAACTCAAGTATAGAAGCAAAGTCACAATAGTTTTGGCCTATTTTGGGAATAATATTAAAAGTCAGTTTATTGATTTTTTGTAAATTTTTAAATCATATTGTTTGGTTTGTATTTGAGAAATATGTTTTGAGATAAAAAGTACGAAAATTTGTTTGGTTTAGTTTTTTTTCAAAAGATGTTTTGAAAAATTATTTTGAGAGAGAGTTTTGAAAAAAGTGATTGATTTGATGTGTATGACAAAGAGATTTGTTTGGAAAACTTGTAAACCAAACAAGTTTTAGAAAAAAATTTGGGAAAAATTTGTTTAGTTTGATTACTTTTGAAAACTTATTTGTAGAGAATTTTTTTCAAAATTTTTTGAAAAACACAAACCAAACAAGGCCATTATTTTTTTATTTTTATTTTTATTTTTTTGCACGGTTTTTTCTTATAAAAAAAGTCAGAAAAAATCAAAAAATTAATTTTTAATTACTTCCTAAAATAAGCTTTTATAACTAAACTCATCATTCTTCAAAGTTCCAATTTTTTGGGACTGACTATTTTAATATTGGTAGGATTAGTACCGCTTCATTAATTTTGACTGTAATTTATATAAAATTATAATAAAAATGTTGTGACAATAATATTTTTATAATTAAGTATATTTGTGCATGTTTGTTTAAAATTGAAAGACTCCAAGTCATTCATATTATTTGGTACATAAATTTTATGTATTTTTTCAGTTTTAAATAACATTATTTTATGCACTAATATATTTTTTTAGTATTTTTTATTTATGTTGCTCTTTTGTTTTTTTTGTTTTTCTTTTTTATAGCCTCTGAATGTTAGAAATATAAATTTGAACGTACCAATAAAAATTTAAATTTACAAATTAATTTTAAATCAAATAATTATCAAGCAATTATGTTAAAATTTCTTTTATTTAAATGAACAAGACTTAAAATATTACATGTTAAGCAATAACCAATCTCAAAGAGAAACATTCAAGGTAAAGGATAATAAAAAATAAAGAGAAAATAATTGATAGATTGAACAATTCATGTTGAAGTAAAAGCTAAGTATATTATCTTAACACTTGTTGAAATTTGTAGCAATTTACAAGTTGAAGTTAAGCCGAGATTATTCCTTAATTCACTTGTTGAAATTTGTAGCAATTTACAAGTTGAAGTTAAGCCGAGATTATTCCTTAATTCACTTGTTGAAATTTGTAGCAATTTACAAGTTGAAGTTAAGCCGAGATTATTCCTTAATTCACTTGTTGAAATTTGTAGCAATTTACAAGTTGAAGTTAAGCCGAGATTATTCCTTAATTCACTTGTTGAAATTTGTAGCAATTTACAAGTTGAAGTTAAGCCGAGATTATTCCTTAATTCACTTGTTGAAATTTGTAGCAATTTACAAGTTGAAGTTAAGCCGAGATTATTCCTTAATTCACTTGTTGAAATTTGTAGCAATTTACAAGTTGAAGTTAAGCCGAGATTATTCCTTAATTCACTTGTTGAAATTTGTAGCAATTTACAAGTTGAAGTTAAGCCGAGATTATTCCTTAATTCACTTGTTGAAATTTGTAGCAATTTACAAGTTGAAGTTAAGCCGAGATTATTCCTTAATTCACTTGTTGAAATTTGTAGCAATTTACAAGTTGAAGTTAAGCCGAGATTATTCCTTAATTCACTTGTTGAAATTTGTAGCAATTTACAAGTTGAAGTTAAGCCGAGATTATTCCTTAATTCACTTGTTGAAATTTGTAGCAATTTACAAGTTGAAGTTAAGCCGAGATTATTCCTTAATTCACTTGTTGAAATTTGTAGCAATTTACAAGTTGAAGTTAAGCCGAGATTATTCCTTAATTCACTTGTTGAAATTTGTAGCAATTTACAAGTTGAAGTTAAGCCGAGATTATTCCTTAATTCACTTGTTGAAATTTGTAGCAATTTACAAGTTGAAGTTAAGCCGAGATTATTCCTTAATTCACTTGTTGAAATTTGTAGCAATTTACAAGTTGAAGTTAAGCCGAGATTATTCCTTAATTCACTTGTTGAAATTTGTAGCAATTTACAAGTTGAAGTTAAGCCGAGATTATTCCTTAATTCACTTGTTGAAATTTGTAGCAATTTACAAGTTGAAGTTAAGCCGAGATTATTCCTTAATTCACTTGTTGAAATTTGTAGCAATTTACAAGTTGAAGTTAAGCCGAGATTATTCCTTAATTCACTTGTTGAAATTTGTAGCAATTTACAAGTTGAAGTTAAGCCGAGATTATTCCTTAATTCACTTGTTGAAATTTGTAGCAATTTACAAGTTGAAGTTAAGCCGAGATTATTCCTTAATTCACTTGTTGAAATTTGTAGCAATTTACAAGTTGAAGTTAAGCCGAGATTATTCTTCTCTTCACTTGTTGAAATTTGTAGCAATTTACAAGTTTATGTTATGCCGAGATTATTCCTTAATTCACTTGTTGAACTTTGTAGCAATTTACAAGTTGGAATTAAGCTGATTCCTTACCTTTACTTGTTAAAATTTGTAAAAATTTACAAGTTGAAGTTAAGCCGAGATTATTCCTTAATTCACTTGTTGAAATTTGTAGCAATTTACAAGTTGGAATTAAGCTGATTTCTTATCTTCACTTGTTGAAATTTGTAGCAATTTACAAGTTGAAGTTAAGCCGAGATTATTCCTTAATTCACTTGTTGAAATTTGTAGCAATTTACAAGATTGCAGGTCAGTATTTTGCCGAAATAAAAGTTTTGTAGTTATACCCGAGGTATTTAACCTCGACAAGATTATATAAAGGATACAACATGAAGAAGCATACAAAGATTTCTAAGTATAGAACGATACAGAAGCAATCAATAGAACATCACAAGATTAAAAAGCATCTATATAAAGAGCAGTTGCAGTTACATATTGAAAAAGTTACATCGGCCACAAAAAGGAGTTTTACATTGTCTGGAAACTAAAAAAGTACAAAATACAAAGTACAAAAAAAAGAAGGAACAAAGTACAAAAGACATTTTTCAAGACTCTTCAGTATCAGCAGCTACAGGGACTGGGACCTCGGACGATTCTGGTGGAACCTCCTCGGCAACCCTTTCTGCTTCAATCTCAGCATCAATCTCAGCCAGCGTATTATCCACATTTCTTTCGGCCAAAAGAAGGTCGGATGATAGTTGCCCGATGGCAATCTCCTTAGGCGCCTCCCCAACCTCATCACCCTCCTCATCCAGGGTTAGATCCATAACTTGCTCAGTAGGAGGAAGGGACTTGGCTTCAACAGCATCCTTGGGTCTCCTCACCAAGGCTTCATCTTCATTTTTTTCTCCATCCTCATCCTCGACATCGGCCTCAGTCTCTGATTCGTTTTCAGCCTGACTTGGAGGAGGAAATGGTAAGGGGATGGCATCAGCATTCCGAAGGGGCGAGTCAACAGGGAGATCAAGCTTCTTTATCAGGGACATCCAACCAAGGGAAAATCCCCTGTTGCATGCCTGCCTGACTTGAAGCTTATAATCTTCTGCGACGTCGGCCATACCTTGGGCATAGGCCTTTTCATCGGCCTCTTTGACTTCGGCCTCCTTGGTGGCCAGAGCTTGCTGGAGTTCTTTCTCCGCTTGGGCCCTCTTAGCCTCGGTCTCTCTTTTCTCAGCTTCAGCAACTTTTTTAACGGCCTCAGCGGATTCGGCCTTCTCAAGAGCTAAAGTTTGGGCTTTAGTGGCAACCTCGGCCTGATCCTCCAGTTTTTTTATTTTTGATTCAAGAGACTTTATTTCCCTCTTCAGAGAGGACGCCTCCCTCTTCATATCAACCAATCTTTGACGATTTTCAAAGGAATGCATTGAAAATGAATGGGCGTGTTGGATAGCCTGAAAGAAAACAGAAGTGTTAGAGAATTTTCTCAGTAAGAAACAAAAGGAAAAAACACAAATGCAAACAGAAATGCTTACCTGAACAGAATGTTGGAGCATGAGAGCATAATTCTCATACTCACTAAGCTTAGCATTTCGCTCCAAATCATTTGGAAGCAGAAGAGCAGTGCTGAGGGCGACACCAACGTTAATATCGTCGGCACTTTCACTGGCCATGATAGGCCTGTCCTCCAGAGTTAGTTCAGGAGCCCATGGAACATCAGGCTTCTTTGACGCCGAGGTCGTCGCAGACGATGACCTTGGCCTCTTTGATTGTGTAGACCTTGAGGGTTGGCCCTCAGCTGACCTCTTGGTGGAAGCAGAGGTTGATTTTCTGCTTTCTGCCAGCTTAAAAATAGGCAAAGCATCCTCAGCTTCGGCATCTGTAGCCTTGGCCTTGGGCTGAGCCTTCTTAACTCTCTTTGGCTTTGGTGGGAGCATTGACTGCGTTGGCACAGCTTCGGCGTCAGTTGGAAGGTCGGCGAGAAGGTCTTGAACGACAGGCCTTGGACGAACCATCTCGGTAGTCTTTACAAGCCTTCGTCGACGTTTACGTTCTGGAATTGGTATTAAGTAGGGAGCCGAAGTTGATGGAAGATCGGCTGGGTCAGATGTGGACTCTTGATCTGTTCGGGATGTAGAAGCAGTTAAAGTTGTAGCCGTGGGTGGAGAAAGGCTCTTTTTCCTTTTTCTTGGGACGTCGGGTAAAGTGGATTTATATGTAGAGATGAAGTTTAGTAACAGTGGGGCTTTTTGTTTATGGATTGGAAGGTTAAGGAGTGTTTTCAGATCTGTTCCTGGGAAGAAGGATTGACGAAAATTTTTCGGTGGCTGATGAAGATCTGCAGGACAAAGAAACAGACGTCAGAAACAAAAAGTATTAAAAACTTAAATAAAAACAACTAAGTGTTAACTCAGGGCTCGTACTCTTGCCCTCTGTAATTGTTCGAGGAAGAGGGTAGAGGTGGACATCTTCATCTGGGCCAAATTCCCATTTCCAGAAGCAATGACAAAATCATCTCCAGCCCCTTTGTTGGAGTCTGGGAGGTCGGCTACAATTTTGTACTGGGTAGATCTCGGCTTAAGGTAATAGACAAAACCCCTATCCTTCAGGTCGAGAGGGCACATGGTATAACAATATTGAAGGTCGACTAGGGTGATTCTGAGGTTTTCTTGCCTAGCTAGGGCTATGATACCGTTAATCACCCTATAGGAATTGATAGTAAGTTGCATGGGGTTCAGCCTGTAGAAATGAAGAACTTCACGAAAAAGGGGGTGAAGTGGAA